CCCTTCCTAACCATACTCTCCTTCATCGACGTAGGGAATATTATCCGATATGCCACCCCGTTACGAAAGTTCGAAGACGACGATGTAGTCTTTGGATGGAGATCCTTTCCTGCAGGGAAAGTCAGGTTAATCGAAGCTGGCAATAGGGAAGGGGAGGGGGGAAATTTCTGGTATGAGGGGAGGAAACGAAAAGGAACGAGGATGAGAAAGTGATGTAAAGTTTGTTCGTAAGAGGAGGATATTTTCCATGGAAAGTAGCTTTCTACGAGGTACGAGACGGTTAATTGAAAAGTACCAAGAACACGGTGTCTGACATGCACGAATTATCCTTCATATCATTTCACTCATGATTCATATTTCATTTTCGATAAACAAATTTCTCTCGCTTTTTTTTCAATTCTTCTAAAACAAGTTCTCATTTCTTTTATTTTTTTTTTATATAACGTATTACAATTTCCATTCTTTTTATTTACGAATCTTCAACTTTCCCTGATTATTAAATCTCAATTGATATAAGATGAATTTATCAAATTTATACTAGTGTAAAAATATACGTAAAAATATTCGATAAATAATATCGTACTTAAGAAAATTCTATGTAAGATTGATGTTTATTAATCGAGATCATAAACGTAATCATTTTAATTCTGTTTTTCTTTTTTTCTCGAAGTATCCGATTATAAAATTTCTCCGAACGATTTAAAGATCCGAGAGAGTTAGGAACGGACACACAATAACAGTTAAGAAGATAAACGAAAGAATCATTTTGAAAGACGGCGAGCGTCAAAACGTTGTTGTTCCAACGTTTCTCGTACCGGATAATCTTCTCGGTTAAAAAACTCACAAGACTTATCTCGATGATGTAAGAGGTTACGCGAAATAAGCCTTCGGGATGCGGGATGGTTGCTTGGAGAACAGAAAAGCTATCTGAACAATTTTATCTACGATATTATACTTGTTTTTCAAGACGAACCAATGAATTTTATTATGAATCAAGAAGAAAGAGATAAATAGCTTAGGTAGTAGTAGGATAGACACGTTATTACATTTTGACTTTAGACAAAGAGCGTAATAATAGTAGTAGTAGTAGCAAAAGCAATAAGATTATATCTAAAGTAAGACGCACGCTTGGGTAATCGACAACAACAACAAAAAAAAGAAAACAAACCAGGCTAGATATATTCAACATAAAAAAGAAAAGAAAAGGAAAGAAAAAATCGGTATAGTTCTTCTTTTCCTTCTACTTCTTCTTAGGTAGTATAAGATACCGGTGAAACAGGAATGTAAAAATAATCACGAACTGTAGATTCACGGCACGTTTTCGACCAAGATAGTAGGAGAAAAGTAGAGAGAGAGAGAAGGGTATATCTCGGTCGTGTGTACTCGAAATGGTTGGCCAATTACGGGACGGCCTTGTCTCCCGTAACCGATCTAACGACCGATCTAACGACTGATCTTACTGAGTATTCCTCTGCGAATTTGACCTCACGACGTCGCTCTACATAAGACGTCTACGAGGAAAAGAGAGAGAGAGAGAGAGATGGAATAAGAGTCACAGAACGTGGCTCGTTCGATGAATACCGATGCCAGAGTACTCTGTTCCTGCAAAATCTTCTCCCTAGAGAGCAAACAGTCATTCCCGTTTGGTCCTCCTCTTCGCTAACCATTACTCCGACTCGGAATTACGCTAAGAACGAAAGGCCCTTCAACGTTTTTCTTCGATAAAAATACCCCCTTTGTAAATGAAGCCAAGAGTCGTTTTACGTTTTCTCTCTTTTTCTCCTTCTTCTCTCTTTTCTGTGTTCTAAAACAAATCGAAGCAAAATTATACGACATCTCGGACTGAGTTAGCAGTAAAATGAGATCGACGATTTACAATAACGAAGTAAGAAAACTAAAGAGAAAGAGAAAGAGTGACGTTTTAACGAAAAAAAAAGAAGGAAAAACAAACAACGAAAGAACAAGACAAAATCTTATCCAAGTAACATCTATCAAATTTAGGAACCATTATTCAAGATAGGAAAGTTTGAAAGGATATTGCTCGAGATGGCATTGGTATACCAAAGCCCTTATCCTTCTTACCATCCACGAGGAGATTCTAGTAGAAATGCCAAACCACGTAGTAATATCGTAGTAGTAGTAGTATAGGGGTGTCTCGTACTTGAAAGTAAGCTCTCTACGTGTGGCAGAGCTGAGAAACTTTGCAAAAGCGAAACTGATGGCGATTACGTTGCTACCGTTCGTCCAGCCACGCACCAACAACGAAATAAGGTCTGTTGGAGAGAAGGGTAGGTGTGTGCAAAGGGATGAGAAGGGAAAAGAGAGGGGAGGGGAATGGGTAAGGATGGAAAGTCGAAAGAGGTTTTCCGTTGAACGTAGGAGTCTGCGAATTATTAAACATAACGGTGAAATATCGCGTCGGCTATGTTGGCTGCCATCTTGCTGGTTCATAGCGGTGGTGGTGGACTGGGGGATGAGGTGAGGGGGTTTACAACGTGATGTGATTTCGCAAGAACGTTTGAGTCGAGAACACCAGCGCAAGTAGCAGCAGCAGCAGCAGCAGCAAGCAGTCTGCTGCATTTTAAGGCGCAGCGTAGTAAAAGCAAGCAAGCAAGCAAACAAGCATCGATGTATTCGCGATAAGTTGAAGAAACTTTAAAGCGTAACAACTCTACGCTGTACGTTCATTCTTCCTCTCGTACAATCTTCGAAGAATGAAAATCGTGTCGATGGGAAAGATAAATGACAAAGAGATCGGAGATCGGCGATATACCTTTTTATCGATAATATATGGCCACTCGTGTTCATCTATCGTTCAATTGTGATCCGTAAAGAAACGGGGGAAAGAAAGATCGCCTCCAAGTTGGTTCTTGCTGAAGAATTTTTCTTCTATCATGTATTTTTAATTCGATGTTTAGTTTAATTTCTTATTATCTTTCTTATTATTTAAATTAGGGTTTTATAAACAGAGATTTTGGTTTCATCATAAACATTAGAATCTTCTTCGAAACTTCAAATGATTCACGAAGAGAAACTATCGTCAAACAGGCAGGAAGCCAAGCACGAAGCCAAGTACTGCTATAGCGATAAATAAACGAAATCCCAAGAGACGTCTGTCTGCAGGTATAGGAACGTGCTAGCTAGTGCTACCTATCGTTGGAAAGGTCGAAAGCAAACTGCAGTTACGATTATAGAAGTTTCGCAAGTCCCACTGAGAGTTTTTTTTTACTTAGCACGGAATTAGAGAAACTCTTGATGTCTGTGATCCTTAAATGATCATCTAATATGTTACTATGATTTCAACTAATTCATATTATCCAATCATTTTCTCATATTATCTTTTAAAGAAACATTTTAATTAAAATTAAAAACCGCGTTATGTATCAAGAGACTAATTACAATCAGTTCAATCGTTTGTTTCTTTCATTCGTTTCATTTATCATTGAGATACCAAAATAAAACGATTGATGTAATAAAATTATTTATAAGGTTGTATAAACTTTTTTACAATTTTATAAAAACCGATGCTTAGTTTATTATCTATAACACTTTAATCCAATTAAATTTAAAGTTTTTCTTTCTCTCTCTTTTCTATCTTAGTTTTATTTAGAAAAAAGATAAATATAAGGATAGTAGCGTGTATTGAGGCGTGTATAAAGCAACCGTTTCAATCCAATTACGTTCGGTAATGTCCTAAAGAGGTGAGAGAGGAAGAAGAAGAGGAAAGTGGAGAGGAGGAGGAGGAGGAGGAGGAGGAGGTGGTAGATCGTAGGAGAAACAGAGGGTCACGTCCGCGTTATCCGTTTCGGCATCCTCCGTGCGTGAATCTCGTTACGGGGATTGGCCAAAATCCACCGGCGTTAATGGTGTTTAATTGACCCTCGTCCAAGTGTCAATGGAACGTACAGCAGCTCTTATGAAGCGCTTGCCTCGAACACGAGAGTATCGTGCTCGTTTAAGCACGGAAACAAGCTGGAGGACAGTTAATTTTGATGGATTTTAAGCCGATAATTGACGAGTGACATGCTATGCACTTGCACGCGTAACTTGGCCTGGCTTGGCTTAGCTTGGTTTGGCTTAGTTACACGATCGTTACGATAATCGTCACGACAAAATTTCTCTTCTATGAGATAACAAGTAAAGAACGTTATTTATGATCCACCTTCCTTATTAGATCTAACTGTTATACATTATGGTGTATTTAATTATTATTATTTATGACGAGGGAAGTATAAATAGTAGTTTAAATGAATTTAATAACGAATAGATGAAATCTATTCTATATATTATTATAATANTATATATATATAATATTATATTATATTTCATTCTATCTTGTTTAATTATTAAAAGTTTTATTTTATTTTATTTTTTTTTTTTTTTGTATTTTTGTATATATATATACAAAATATATATATACAAATAAAAATATATATATACAAAATATATATATATTTTTCGTATATAATTTTTTAACCCTTGTTATTGAGAAAAGAAGGAAATCTGAAAAGAAAGAATTAGCATTTTAAAGTTTAATAAAACATGTTCAAATTGGCCAAATTTAATTTTTTAATTTATCCACATGTATATAATATTACTGTTTCCCTTGAATTTTTCTAAAAGCATCCTTTATTGGTTTTGTCTTCCAATAGAAGACAATTGTTAGAAGTTTCATTGAATATGCCACAAGACCGTTTTTAAAAAATAAATAATAAAAAAAACTAAGTTTTGAGAGAATGAGACGAATGTAGAATATCAGATGTAGGATAATTGTAGGGTTTATTTGTTATAATATTATTATTATAATATTATTATTATAATATTGTTACCACATTCAAAAATTATTTTACGTTTTAGTGACATATAATACATAAGATATTACACAGTAAGCAAGTTCTCAATTTGAAGAAATGAGACGAGTTGCTTATGGTAACTAAAACATGTATGGTAACTAAACATTTCTCTGCGTGCACGAAATGCACGAATGCGTTCCGACGAACTCTTTGAAATTTCCCCAATATTTTCTTTTTGCAGATTTTCACGACACTGTTCGGCGTTAATTTTCAGTCGAGAGACACTTGAATCACAATTCACAATATCCAATTGCGAATCATCTGAATAGAAAATAAAAAATAATGTTACAAAAGTGACATATTGAGATTATACTTGTCTAGTATGAGTAGAAAGGATTAAGAAAGAAATATATTGATTGAAAGCTATGTAATGACTTACAATAATCGTTTTTACTATTTCTAACAGTGGACGCATTATTATCCGCATTAGTGATATTATTCTGTACATTTAATAACGCCTTCTGCCGTGCACGAAATGCACGAACACGTTCCGTTGAACTCTTTGGAATCTTCCTTATTATGTTTTTCTCCCTAATTTCAGACTTTTTGTCTTTGGTTGGTGGCATTTTATATATTGTTAAATAAATATATATATAAAAAAAAATTAAGTCTTCTGGCCCTAAACGGAAAGCTATGATAAGGGGAAAATGAGAAGAATTAAAATGAGAAATAAAACACGTGATCGAACATAATAGATGGGATAATAAAACCTTATTTATTTGTTAAAGAAAAGTTTCCCTTCCTTAAAAACCCTAGTTTATATATTAGAAATATTAAATAAAAATTGAATATTGTCCAAGCAAATAAAGGAAACGTAGCTTAACTTACTTTGACTTGCATGCAAATACAACGACGAGGTTTTATTTATAATTATAATAATTATAATAATAAAAATAAGTATAATATAATATAGTTCTACAATATTTTCAAAGAATTGGAATTAAAATTTAACAAATCGAATAAAATGATAATAAGAACAGGAATGCATTAATAGTAAGTACTACAAAGAATTATTTACTAAGAGACTCCTAGTAATATTATACATTGCCAAAGGTAGAACAGAAAAAGTTTGTCTTTCAATAAAGTATTTAATGAAATATGTATTGCTATCGTTAATTAAATTATTACTTTTAACAACTATTGTAGTATTATTATTAATACTTGTTTCAAAAAAACGATTCAGTAGCTGCTATAGTTATTATTTTGTTTTCTTACGGTCGTATAAGGCAACTATCTCGCAGAAATTCGCAAGATTTGTAAAATTTCCATTTTTCTTTCTGCTCAACTCTTCCTGATCCACTTGCCCGATGTTCATCTGCGATTAACCTCCGATGAGTCTCTCGCAAGCTTTTGAATTTTTTTTTACACTATCTTCTGTTAATTGTCCTATTAAAATAAATTTCTGTTTCAGATACTTCATTTGAATACATTAAACACAAATATTTATTAAAATAATTTTTTTTGTTGCCATTCAATGCCTGAGATACTTCTTGCCATAATACTACAACAGTTTCTTTACTTCGCTGCTCAAGAGGAAGTTCAAAATTCCATAAAGGTTGTCCGGATTGTACTTGTAAAAGTAAAATTTCGACTTCATCATCGTTTAATTTTTTTCCTCACTTAGCCGTAGAGCCAGTGTTGTTTTGTTTCTTGTTAATTTATGTATTTAGACTTTTACCTATGATAAACCATTTTAATTAAAACAGTGTTTGTATTTACAAGAAATATCCTTGATTAAACAAAACGATGTGACCCATACTATGTGTATATTTACATATTAGTCAACTCTAATTGTTTCAAATCGTTTTGAATCATTTCAAATCGTTCTATTTAATTAGGAGTGTGTGAACCTTTCACAGCATTAAAATTTGTCGAAGTATCAGATATTAGACATTTCTTTTTTACAAAAACAAAAATTCGTTGATAGAAATTATAATTTAACTACAAATATATTTCACCTGTATTGGGACTTGCATTTTCATCAATCGTAGGATGTAATTTTTCATAAATAATGCCTTCTTTGCCATTCGATAACAATGCGCGACGAACTATTGTAACTTTATCATCTGCAAAATGATGTAAATGACAACGCTTCAATTATTTTAATACAGTTAATTGTATAAACATATTTAATAACTTACCTAGTAGTGGAAAAAAATAATAATTTTCGTCAATATGGACATCACTGTAATTTTTTAAACATTCATGATCGACATATTCGTCACAAATGGTCTCACATACACCACATGTAAAAACAACTCGCATTTCCTAAATATTAAAAGAAGATGAACATTATCAATACAATTTATTAATGACCATTTGTTTTTTGTATAACATGTAAGGCATATTAAAATATTTGTTTATATTTTTATGAGTATCAATAGGTTAGAATGTAGTCTTTAATTTTTTACAAAGCAAAAAATGATTTATTTAATTTATATGAAACAGAGAATGGTTATAGGTATTACCTCTTCAAAATCCATAATATGTTATATATTATAATATTTCATAAATAATTATTTTAAAAAATGTAATCGACGTAATCGTCGATTGTAATTCGGTTCGATATAACTTTTTTAGCGTTAAGTAAATGATACCAGCGTTAATTAATTTAAAGCTCAAATATTTTCAACTTTATCGCTGCTTCTTATCTAGATGGCACTTCAATCGAAATTATATAATGTGGTCAAATTTGACGCTCAAAGCTAGCGTCAAGCGTCAGCATGAAATCGCACCTTTAGTCGCTTGTTTTGTTATTTTTTCACAGATTGTCTTAGATGTATCGTCGAAGACGTCCAATGGAGAAATAGAAAATTTTTTTTTTGTAACAAACAAATTACGGTTTAGTTGTTTGTGAAAAACCGTTGATGGTTACCATAGCAACGCTCTGATTTAGCAACATTACGCCACGCGCAGAGCTTGCCTTTGTTGACACAACACACACACACACACAAAGCTTAGTAGCCAGGAGTAGGGACCACGAATCAAAGACCGAGAATAGGAAAAACTGTATAGCTATATTGTGTCTCATTCTCTCGCAAGCTCAATCTTATATGTTTGTCTCTTTTTCTCCTCTTATTTAGTATCGCTTCCGTTTCATAGCCGCCTACCGTTCCATTACGAAACCGCCTATCGCTTCGTTACATTTTTTCGAATCACACCCATTTTAAAGAAGTTTTCACTTCAAAAAGAAAAAAAATGGATATAATGTGTAATATTTCGATATGAGTGAAAAATATTATTTGACGTTACTGGGTTAGCTAGAAAGTCAGTGTAGTTTTTTTTTTAAATTAATAATATAAGAAATATTGCAAGTACTTGAATATTTCGTTTAAAAAAAGAATAGTATTGTAAATGCTCATGTTATTATATTTTTTTTATTTTTTGCAACTTCATTAATAATTGTACAATTTTAAATGGAATCGCACGATTTAAATTGTATATTAAATTTTACAACATTCACCAAGATCTTTTATTTCTAATATTTAATTAAGCATTATCAACTTAAAGTTTGTTTAACTTTTTAATAATATTCCCAATGTATACGCGTTGAATTTAGGATGTTAAATGTGTAAGGGTTTATTTACTATGGATTTCGCGAACATTATCGTGAGATCTTGTAGACAGTTTGTTTGTCGAGAGAAGCGACATTGTTCCCATAGGACATGGCTAACAATATTACCATGGGATTTGTTTTTGGAGTTAAATCGGACTACGAGAGGAATAGGATAGAAGGTAGACCCTATTAATATTGCGCCTATATATAAAGCACCTTCTTCACCGAGTTAGCCATTGTCGTTAAAGGAGAAAGATGTTATGCAAATATTGCGGTTAGAGAAAAGATTGTAGTACGAATATTAATATCTGAAAATTGACATTATACATTTCTAAAACTAACTTAATAATGATAATCATAATAATAATTAACATTTAAGCATTAAACGATGAACACATGTGTGCGTTTAAATAAATACGATTTTTATTGTTATTCTTATTGTATAATTATATTTTTATTTTAAACGATAACCTGATAAGAAAGAAACTGTTTTACTCTTTCAAGAAGAAATTGTTTTAAATATTTTGCAACGTAATAATAAAATAAAATCATCTTCGTTCAGTAGACATGTACATACATAGATAGGTAGATAGGTAGGTAGGTAGGTAGGTAAGTAAGTAAGTAAGTATGCGCTATTCGTTTACACAAGGAGGACGAATAAGGGTGCGTATCTCTTGAGGATGAGATATAATTATATAAACAATGATGTCAGTCTGCTCGGTAATAATGACAAGAACGGTACAGTTCATCCTCCCTTGGGAGCAACCCACGTAAGAGGTGCTTCATTAAATACTTGGAACCCTGGGAGAATTATTCTATCTGAGTTTAAAAACTGACATGGCAAAAATGAAAATGATCGTAATAATGATTACAATAAATCGTTGTTTTGGAAAATTAATTAAACCTAATTCGACGTTATTAATATTATTAAATAAAATATATTATACGTTGAAGTATTTATACGTCGATAATTGAATCAACAAAACATATTTTCTAAATTATTACAATATATAAATGTATACAATAAATATTATATTTTTCTTATCATGTTTGATCTTTTAATAAAAATTCATTTACAACTGTACAAAGTTGTATTAATGTCTCGAAAACAGATTAAAAAAAAAAGGTCTTGTTATAATAAATTGAAATGTAATATCTCGGTCGAATAAAATAAAATTAATTAAATTATCGTATTCACGATTAAAGATAATATAAATAACAAAAAAATAAAAATAATATCGAATTCACCTGGACACTTGGGGCAAAACTATTGAAATTCAAAGTGACAATGTGACAAAGATGTGTAGTATCAAAACAGTTTCGTTACTAGCGTAATGAAAAAAAAATCATAGAAGCAACAGGGAGAAGAAGCAAACAAAGAAATGATAAAAAGAAACAAAAAAGGGTGGAATTGGGGGAGAATTGATAGAAGGTCGTGGTGTCGGAGTAAATCGAGAGACGGCCTTAACCTTCCCTAGGGAAAAGGTTATTAATGACGAGAAGGGGGTGATAGACAGGTTCCCGTCGCGCGTCTCTAGACTTGCCAGTGAAGTCAGTTTCCCCCAAAACTGGCGTGGAGGGAGGAGGAAGGGGGAGGGGGATGGCTAATGACGATTAATTCAATGTCTTCGGTGGAAGCACACGACAAACACACACATACACGTACCACAAAACGCAGGAACGTCTCTTCTCGGTTGAAACACGCGCGACAGGTTTCAGGGACTTCCGTTAGGAAGGGCACACCATAGATGGTAGTAGTAGCCCTTATAGTCCACCCTTCGGGCCCTCAATTCGCTTCGAATCAGCCGAAATGAGTCGTTGGACGGATCATTAATCAGCCCAACGAATGACCATCCATGAACGTCCGTAATTGATCTTTCTAGCACGGCACCCTTTCCCTTTCTTTCCTTCCTTTCCATTCTTTGTCATTTCGTTTTGAAAACAGTACAAAAAGAAAAAGAAAAGAAAAATAAAATACGATAAGTTATTTGTGGTGAATCGTAAGTGAAC